TTTTTTTTTTTTTTTTTTTTTTTCCTGAGACAGGGTCTCACTCTGTTGCCCAGGCTGGAGTCCAGTAACATAATCATGGCTCACTGCAGCCTTGACCTCCCAGGCTCAGGTGATCCTCCCACCTCAGCCTCCAAAGTAGCTGGGACTACAGGTGTGCGCCACCATATCCGGCTAACATTTTTTTGTGTGTGTATTTTTTTATAGAGGTGTTTTGCCATGTTGCCCAGGCTAGCTGTGAGTACATTTTTCTTAAAAAAAAAAAAAAAAAAAAAGTACGGAAAAACTTGAAGTCCCTTTTGACCTACCATTTTCCCCCGATTAAGATGATTACTTGGAGGTGAAAAAGAAAAAAGAAAAAAAAAAAAAGAAGACTGTTACTAAGTCCTATCTATTCTACATACCAGATATCTCTTGAGTACATTCACTTCTCTCTACCCACTGCTGCCTCCACAGTGTAGGCAAGCTTCATCTAACAGCTGGTCTCCCTACCTCTGCTCACTGCCCCTCCAGTCCACTTGCCTGGCTTAAGCCAGGCCCTCAGGGACCTGCTTTCTAAGTCTCCAGCCTCTTCTCCCAACCTTATTCCCCTCCTACTCCACATTCCAGTCAGCTTTAACCTCTTTTGGTTACTGGGGCCTCAGGCTGCGTTGGCTCTGGGCCTTTGCATAAGCGGTTCCACTGCCCAGACGCAGGCTTAGTCAGTCCCAGCAGATCTTCATCTCCACCGTCTGCTCATCTTTCAGGTCTCAGTTTACAGGGCACTTCTTCTAGGTCGTCTTTCTGCCCCCCGCCCACCACCTGCTCCCCAAATACCTTCTCCTTCTCCAGTTGTGACACCTATGGCCACTTATTTTGATTTTTGTTTGTTTCTCCTCTATTAGACCTGGGCTCTATGAAAACAGGGACAGTGTTTTGCTCACTGTCATATCCATCGTGTAGAGACCTGCCTGGCACACAGGGAACACTCTTTAAACAGATGTTGAATAAATGTTGGGAGGGAGGGAATGAGAATGGATCCAGGTAACTTATGAACGGGTTGTTTGACTATGGACCCTGAGTCTCATGACAGGAGGAAAGACAGGAGATTTCACAGTTCTTTAGCAGTAGGAGTTGCTGTTTTTAAATTTACCTCTGTGGGCCCTTACTTGTAAGCAAGGCATACTTGTATCTCAGAAATTATTTCATCTTACATTATGTTTTCTTAAAGGTTTATCAACTCGCAGATCTGAATCCTATAAGCAGCTTTAGCTTATTCCTCTGTCTTTTCCACACTAATATCATACTTTGTGCAAATTTTTTCAATTATAAACATTTATTGAGCACTTATCTAGTAGTTCTGGGGGTGCAAAGATGATTTGGTTATGAGCTTAATTTCAAAGATCTCCCTGTCTAATAGAGGAGAAAATGAATTAAACCACATCTGCCAGGCATGGTAGCTCACACCTGTAATCCCAGCACTTTGAAAGGCAGAGGTGGGAGGATTGCTTGAGCTCAGAAGTTGGAGATCAGCCTGGGCAACGTAGTGGGACACCATCTCTACAAAAAGTTAGCTGGGCATATGGTACTCCTGTAGTCCCAGTTACTTGGGAGGCTGAAATGGGAGGATCACTTGAGCCCAGGAGGTTGACGCTGCAGTAAGCCATGATCACACCACTGTACTCCAGCCTGGGAGACAGAGCAGGACCCTGTCTCAAAAGAAAAAAAAAAAATTGAACCCTATCAGACTGTGTATAAGTGCCCTGATAATTGTAAATACGGGCTCCTATGGGAGCTGTAGAAGGAAGCAGCTAACTTTGCAGAGGGGGGAAAGGTAACAGAAAAGAAGTGCTACCTACACTGAGTCTTGAAGGATAAGCAGGAGTTTTCCAGGTGACCAGCGGGTGAGAGACCATGAAACAACCTGAACAAAAGTAATGAGACATGAACATACGGGTACCTTCAGGGATTGTCCATACATCAGTGTGGTTAGAGGAAAGAGGGCAAGAGGTAGAGAGTAGGAGATGACACAGAATACCAGCAGGAGTGGGACTGGGAGGGACCTCTGTACCTCCCGAATAAGGGGAGTGGATTCTGTGACAAGGGATGAACAGCCCTGAAAAACAGGGTGGCAGCAAGAAGTTGGATGAGAGTGAAGCTGATAAATTAGAAGCAGGAAGAGACTCAAGGGCAGGACATTGGTCAGGAGGCTATAGCAATAATCTAGGTAGGATATAAAGAGGACGTGAGCCAAGGCAGTGGCACAGGAGTGGATGCTGCCATCCCAGTTTCTGCAACAGTCATATTTCTGGTAACCTTTCTGGAGTGCTGAAGGACTAGAGAGCAACCAGACAAAAATTTAAAAAAAAAAAAAATGTAAAGGAGGGGAATAGAGATTCTTGGGGCAAAAGGAAAAAAGAGAACTGTTCAATAAAGAAAGTACAATCATAGCACTTTACTTGGCTCTGCAGTGAGTATTTTCATAGTCATAATTGTGTTGATTCTGATTGTTGCTTTTCAGCTTCTAGAGCAAATCCATAAAGCTGGGAAGACAGAATAATGGTATCAGAATAAATGTTAAATGTAAATGCTATTACCCTAGACAATGTAAAGTGAAGATAATAACTGTCAGAAATGGACAGGGTGAAATGGAAGTAGGAATCAAAATTGATAGGCCAAGAACTAGCAGGAAATGCATATTTTTTGGTGATGGAGAGGTAATTGCCAGAAGAAACAGCTTTTAAAAAATTGACAATGGTGGGCTGGGTGCTGTGGCTCACACCTGTAATCCCAGCACTTTGGGAGGCCAAAGTAGGTGGATCACGAGGTCAGGAGATCAAGACCGTCCTGGCTAACACAGTGAAACCCCATCTCTACTAAAAATACAAAAAAAAAAAAAAATTAGCCAGGTGTGGTGGCAGGCATCTGTAGTCCCAGCTACTTGGGAGGCTGAGGCAGGAGAATGGCATGAACCCGGGAGGTGGAGCTTGCGGTGATCCAAGATCGCGCCTCTGCACTCCAGCCTGAGTGACAAAGTGAGACTTCATCTCAAAATAAATAAATTAAATTAAATTAAATTTAAAAAATTGACAGTGGTTTCCCCTAGGCAGTAGCTTTAGTTGTGAGGAAGGCCTGGGTAAGGACTTGTTTATTTTTATTATAAACCCTTTTGTACTATTTGATTTATTGTTACCAGGTGCATGAGTCTTTTGATTAAAATATTTTTTTTTAATTTTAAATGCATCTATCCTGGTGATATTTCTTGTCTTCATGGAGATATCATACACAAACATCTGAAAAACAAAGCATATCAGATGAATTAGGTATAGCCTCCCCAAGGTAATTCCCTGTGACATTTAGTTACCTTCCTACCCAGCACTTTGGGAGGCTGAGGTGGGTGGATCACGAGGTCAGGAGATCAAGACCATCCTGGACAACACTGTGAAACCCTGTCTCTACGAAAAATACAAAAAATTAGACGGACATGGTGGCAGGCGCCTGTAGTCCCAGCTACTGGGAGGCTGAGGCAGGAGAATGGCCTGAATCCAGAAGGCGTAGGTTGCAGTGAGCTGAGATCATGCCACTACACTCCAGCCTGGGTGACAGAGCGAGACTCCGTCTCAAAACAAAAAAAAAAAGAATAAGTATATTCACTTCCGTTATCACAATTCAAGACAAGTAGACTTAAAAGCAGTCTCATTTTACGGCTTAAAGGCACAAAATCCAAGTAGCAAGCCTGAAATGTGGTTTGCATATTAAATCAGTGCCTTTAAAATGTTTGACCTTAACCCAGTAAGAAATACTTTTGTGCATGACCCAGTACCCACACACTCACAAAACTGAAACAAAACTTTTAAAAATGAATAGCCCTGTTCATCTGTTAAGAATAGTTCCTATAACAGTGTTATAGGAATACTGCTATATGGAAAAAGTAATATTAAGGGTAGTGTGTACTAGGCGTTGTTCAAGGAGCTCTATAATATTTGTGGATAAGATTCTGCCACCACTTTTGAGATGGGTGCTATTTTTACTTCCATTTTAGAGATTCAGAAAATGATGCTTAGAGAGGTTAAGAACTTCTCAAGATAAGCAGTAGAACTGTCAGTAGAATGTTACCTTTTACTATGTTAACATGTGCTTCAAAATTTCTATTTCCTTCTTTTAAGTATTTTTCATTTTTTTAAATATCACTCAGTTTAAATGATTTTAACAATCCACTACTGTAATTATGACCCACAGATTGGGAAACACTGCACTAAATTAATCACTCCTTTTTTTCCCCTCAGATTGGAGAATGTGCTTATGAAATTTAGAGCTTATTTCTCAGATCAGTTTAACCTTCCTAGGAAATTACTTGTTACTGATGCATAAGAAAAAATTGTTACATAAAGTTAGCTTCTATCATCTTTGTTAATTAGCATGGCTCCCTTCTTTTCATTTCTCTTCTCCTTCCTTAAAATTTTCTCTCTTTTTTTCATCTTTAGTCCTGTGTGGCACATATTAGGAATAGCTAAATTTATTTCTGGAGTTATATTTAGATATATATCAGTTACACACTGATATTTCTTGGGTTTTGCCCATATGTCCATTGGTTTGCACTTGCCACAAGAAGTACAGATTTCAGCCAACCATCTGCTATGCTTGTGAAACCATCAAAACCCAACCTTCCCTCAGTATTGGAATCTCGTGATTTTTTTTCAAATGTAGTAAATTTCATGTTTAAAATGCACAATAGGGCTGGGTGCAGTGGCTCACGAGCTCTGTAATCCCCACACTTTGGGAGGCCAAGATGGGAGGATTGCTTGAGGCCAGCAGTTCGAGACCAGCCTGGTTGACATAGACCCCCTCTCCATTAAAATAATAATAATAATAATATAAAATACATAATGATAAGCATCATTTGTCATGTCCACACATTTAAGCAAAACATTATGCTGAAAATAAAATTATGATGCTTATTGATGCACTAATAGAACTTTAATAGACTGATTTAGTTGTTTTGATTTTTTTCTTATTAAATTAAGACCTACAAGCAGCTGTTGAAGAGATACTGCCAAGCCTTAAAAAAGATGATGTGTCCATCTATTATGTGAGCAGAACTTCTAACACAGATGGGGTTGACTCTTTCCTGGACAAAGTGGATGAAGTATCAGCTGAACCTACCCCAGAGTCATGGAGGTCTGAAGTCACTTTTTCCACTCCTGCCTTATACATCTATACTTCTGGAACCACAGGTAAAAATAAAGGGGGGATCCCCCAAAAAAATGGATCTGAAGGAGTTAAATGTTGGCACAGGTTTTCAAATCTCTTTCTTTGGCAAAACTTATTGGATAACTAATACTTCAGGAGATTTAGTTATTTGCCTGTGGGAACTGATCTTATTTCATAGCATGTGATCTCATTTGGGTTTCTCCAAGCTATGCATATTTTCCCCCAGTTGGTATAGAACAGATAAAGAGGTTAACCAAGAACTACAGAAGGAGTTATGATGATGAATGAGATTTGACACTGAATGGGTAGTTGGAATTGTTTTTCATGCTTGTTGTGTTTTGATTATATTATGTCCAGAGTCCATATAGACTTTATAATTGATTATAAATGGAACACAGGAGAAGACCAGTGAACAATTGGAGGTTCTGTTTATATAAATGTTTTAACCATTATCTTCCCATGCAACACTGATTTGGAGCTGTTTGGTGCTGTGGATGTGGGGTGGCTATAGCATAAGGCCTAAAATACTGTATTTCATCAAATCTAGGATGCCTTCAACTGTAAGCTGCACCATTATGAGCCACTAAGAAGAAATACTACCAATTAACAATGTCATGGGAGCACTGCTATATGGAAGAAGCAATATTAAGGGTAGTATGTGTACTAGGCATTCTTCAAGGGGCTTTACAACATTTGTTGATAAGATTCTGCCCCTACTCTTGACATGGGTACTATTTTTACTTCCATTTTAGAGATTCAGAAAATGATACTTAGAGAGGTTAAGAACTTCCCAAGATAAGCATTAGAACTGTCAGGATTCACCTTGGAGGCTGATTCCACAGCTCATACAATTGACAGCTCTATCCCTAGTACCTTCTTGTTTGTTCATGTGATAGATATTTAGTGTCTGCCTACTATAGGCCAGGAAGACCAAAATGTAATAATATGAAGCCTGAGGGGTATATTTAAAAGAAGGACAGGAAGCCAGCCCCAGCATGCCAATTACTATTATCAATATTGGAAAATTGAATCTGTGAGTCTTTTACCTCTGTTGATTAAAATTTTAATTTAATTTAAGCAGGTAATACATGTCTTCTCCTTGTTAAATAATCAACAGACCAGGCTAAAATGTCCTTTGAGCCTTTTATCTCAGCTACAGCTGACAGGAACTGTCTCCTTCGCCTCGACAGGCCCTCAGCACCCACCTGAGCTCACAGTTCCTGGACCTGAGTTTAACCTGATTGTTGGCCTCACTTCATACGGTCACTTTTGCTAAGTATTTAAGTAAATGAGAAGAAGCCAGAATTGATATATTAAAGCTGGTGCCCAAAACATAATATCTCTCATTTTTTTATTTTTTTATTTTTATTGCCAACAGAAAGGTGAGCTGGCACAATTAACCAATTGCTTCTGCTGCATACAGACATTCCCTTAACATATGGGACTTTTATCATCATTTCTTAATAGAATGGTAAAATTAAATTGTAAATGTTTATTTGGGAAAGGATTGAGCCCTTGGTTAGTGAGGGGGAAATTCAGTCTTAGTACTGTGTAAACAAGTATGAAACTTTGTTATAATGCTGTTTTCGCAGTCAAATAGAAAATCCCTTTTAGGGAGAAAAAGGAGAATGAGCATTCTCTGATTTAATCTCTTAAGTCAGAATTTATATTTAATTGGAAGACAATTGAATGGGTGTTTATTTTACTTTTTTCATTTTCTCTGAATCAAATATTTACTAGGCCAAGCACAGTGGCTCACATCTATAATCTCAGAACTTTGGGAGGCTAAGGCAGGAGGTTCACTTGAGCCCAAAAGTTTGAGACCAGGCTGGGCAACATAGCAAGACCCCATCTTTACAAAAACATTAAAAAATTAGCTGGCATAGTGGCACACCTTGTAGTCCTAGCTACTTGGGAGACAGGGGTGGGAGGATCACTTGAGCCCAGGAGTCTGAGGCTACAGTGATGTGCCACTGTACCCCATGCTGGGTGACAGAGCAAGACACTGTCTGTAGAAAAAAAAAATGCTAAGTTACTCTTGTAAACATTAATTAAAAGAATTCATTTAAACAGTTGGAGAACAAATGTTCCTGTTCCTGAAAGGAAGTCATTGGCACAAAATTATATAATAGTTACCAGATATTCTCATTTCTTCATTAATACAAAATCTTAATTTAGGAAAGTTCTGAAAGTACTTCAGCGCAACAAAGATGAGCATTTCTTTTTAAAAAACTCAGAGGCCAGGCACGATGGCTCTTATCTACAATCCCAACACTTTGGGGCCAAGATGGGAGGCTTACTTGAAGCCAAGAGTTCAAGATCAGTCTGGGCAATAAAGCAAGACCTCGTCTCTACAAAAAATATACATAAATAAATTAGTCAGGCATGGTGGTGCACACCTGTGGTCCCAGATACTTGCGGGGATGAGACAAGAGGATCACTTGACCTGAGGCTGTGGTGAGCCTTGAACACCACTACACTCCAGCCTGGCAACAGAGTGAAAGCCTATCTCAAAAATAATATTAATAATAATATATAAAACAAAACAAAAAAACTGGCCCATTATCAAAGAAAATGAATTTTGAATTGTATTTACAATAATGGTAGGTTGCTGACCATATTTGTCTGCCTCGGAACAAGTTGCTGCTACTTGGGCAATATCCGGTGAACGTACCATCAAGTATTAAAGAATCTGAGTCAACAGAGATCTGTCTTCCTCTTCATGAAGTCTACTTACCCACTCAGATCTGAAACTCCTTAGTCCCCTTCCCAGTGACTTCATGCCCTCCCCAGTTGAACTGTTCTTCCATGGGAAACAATATAAGCAAACACTTAAGAAAATCTTACAAAAAACGTATATAAATTATGGTTAAGAATATGCAAACGCATTTAGTCTAATGTACTAAAACTACATGGAGATACCGTTTTTCACCTTTCTGACTGGCAAAGGTCCCAACATTTAAGAGCACACATTGACAAGGCTAGGAGGAAACAGGCATACTCATGTATTGCTGGTAGGAGAATGAATGGGGACACCCCTTATAACTGGCAATGTGGCAGTTATTTATCAAGATTTCAAAGACTTTTTTTTTGAGACAGGGACTCAATCTGTTGCCCAGGCTGGAGTACAGTGGCAGGATCAGGGCTCACTGTAGCCTCAACCTCCTGGGCTCAAGCAATCCTCCCACCCAAGTAGCTAGGACTACAGATGCATGCTGCCACGCCCAGCTAATTTGTTTTACTTTTTGTTGAGGAGGGGTCTCACTATGTTGCCCAGACTGGTGCTGAACTCCTGGGCTCAAGCGATCCTCCTGCCTCAGCATCCCAAAGTGCTGGGATTACAGGACTGGCCATCTTTTATCTTTTGACACAACAATCTCACTTCTGTGAATTTATCCAAAAGATATGGTGTCATTCATATGTGAACTGCCATATGGACGAGGTTCTTCACTGCAGCATCATTTGTAACAGCAAATAGTATAAATAAATTATAATAGACTCATAAAAGGACTTCTGAAGGAGCTGAGAAAGAGAATAAATAAATGAATAAGAAAAATCTCTATGTACAAACATGAACAAATCTCCAATAAACAGTGTTAAGCAGCAGAGACAAAAAACATGCAAAAGAGTGTGCATTTTTTTTTTTTTTTTTTTTTTGAGACAGAGTCTGACTCTGTCACCCAGGCTGGAGTGCAGTGGCACTATCTCAGCTCACTGCAACCTCCACCTCCCAGGTTCACGCCATTCTCCCGCCTCAACCTCCCAAGTAGCTGGGACTACAGGTGCCCACCACCACGCCTGGCTAATTTTTTGTATTTTTAGTAGAGACGGGATTTCACCATGTTAACCAGGCTGGTCTCGATCTCCTGACCTTGTGATCCACCCACCTTGGCCTCCCAAAGTGCTGGGATTACAGGTGTGAGCCATCGCACCCGGCTGAGTGTGCATATTTTTTAATGGAAAAGGCAAGAACATATAAGGAAATGTTCATATTTGCTTTGTTTGTATAAACTAACTCCAGTACATAAGAAATCTCTCTGACTCCCAGCCTTGACATCTGTGGATTGGAGAATATAATTCTGTTTATGTCATACATAAATATGTTATGGAAATTAAATGACATTTTTTAAATTTCATGCAAAATGGTAGCCACAGAGCAGAAATTCAATAGACATTCATTCCTCTATTTTCTGTTTCTCTTCAGATTACTACCATCTAACCATCTAACTCAGGAGTTAGCAATCTGTGGCTTGTGGGCCAAATACAGCCTCCCTCCTGTTTTTATAAATAAAGTTTTATTGGAACACAGCCACACTCCATTTATGTGTATGTGTATGGCTGCTTTTGACCACAATAGCAGAGTTCAGTTGTTGCAACAGAGATTGTATGACCCACAAAGCCTAAAACATTTACTCTCTGGTCCTTTATAGAAAAAATTTGTCAACTTCTGGTCTAACCAGTCATGGCCCTTCCCAGTGCAATTCTCAAAATACAGGATGATTAATCTTCCTAAGCCAGATCTCTCTCCTACACTGTAAATGCCCAATCTTGGTTAACTCATACCTTCTCTTGTATATTTGCAAAGGTCTTCCAAAAGCGGCCATGATCACTCATCAGCGCATATGGTATGGAACTGGCCTCGCTTTTGTAAGCGGATTGAAGGCAGATGATGTCATCTATATCACTCTGCCCTTGTACCACAGTGCTGCACTATTGATTGGCTTTCATGGATGTATTGTGGCTGGTAAGCTTTTCCTACAAAGTGTTGGAGGCGAGTGCACATTTACATTTTCTCACAAGGAACAGTAATATAAAATTTGGCTACGCTGCTGTCTGCTCGGAACAGTCTTCAATTTTGCTTTAACAATAAGGCTATTTGACTCATATTACAAGCAAGCATCTAAAATAATCTGTTTTTTCATGCCTGCTTATCTAATAATATAATGCTGTAATTGTTCAGTATATCAAGAGAGAAACTCCTTTAAAATATTTTAGAGCTGGGTGCAATGGTTCGTACCTGTATTCCCGGCACTTTGGGAGACCAAGGCAGGAGGATTGCTTGAGGCCAGGAGTTCAAGACCAGCCTGGGCAACAGAGCAAACCTCATCTCTACAAAAAAAAAAAAAAAAATAGCCAGGCATGGTGGCTCGAGTCTGTAGTCCCAGCTACCCAGGAGGCTGAAGTAAGAGAATTGCTTGAGTCCAAGAGTTCAAGATTGCAGTGAGCTGTGATTGCACCACTGCACTCCAAGCTGGTTGACAGAGTGAGACCTCAACTGTGAAAAATAAAATAAAAATAAAAATAAAAAATTATCTGTATCTAGGTTATGACACTTGAATCTTAGATTCTATGTCATGTCATTTCCATCTTTAGAAACTTACATGTTGATCTCCATCAGCATCTGATTTAAACTTCTTCAGTTGTGTGCACACTTCTGCAGCCTCCCCTGTTTCCACAGCTTTTCAGCTCTACTAGAAGGAGAGAAGATGGCAACTCCATCAGAATACTTGGCTTGGCTTGCCATCTCTTCTCTTTCCTTCTCAGACTTTACTATTCAAATTGGAGTTGCCATCCTCTCTCCTTCCAGGAGGATTTATGTCACTTGTATACGTTACCGCAAAGTTCAATAGCCACCTCTTCCAGGAAGCTATCTGTAACTTTCTGACTGAACTAAAAAGCAACTTTTTCTCCCATGTGGCATTTCATTTTAAATAATCATATATGTATATATAAAAATATATACACATATGTATATACACACACATATATGTGTGTGTATATGCATGCATGTCATGGATGGATATTTGTGTCCCCCAAAAATGTATGTGTTGAAATCCTAACACCCAATAGCTGGTAGGGTCTTTGGGAGGTAATTGGGTCATGAGAGTAGCACCTTCATGAAAGGTAGTGCCCTTATCAGAAGAGACAGGAGAGAGCTTCTTTCCTGACTCCGTTCTCTTCCATGTAAGGACGCAGGGAGATGATGACCATCCCCAAACCAGGAAAATGCCCTCACCAGACACCCGATCTGCCAACACCTTGATAGGGACTTCCCAGCCTCCAGAACTGCAAGAGATATATGTTGTTTAAGCCACCCAGTCTGTACTATATTGTTATAGCAGCTCAAACACACACACACACACACACAATCCAAAAATTTGAAATCCAAAATGCTCCAAAATCTGAAACTCTTTGAGCACCAGGACACCACAAGTGGAAAATACTACAGATAAGTACTTAACACAAACTTTATTTTATGCACAAAATTATTTAAAATATTGCATGAACGAGCCAGGCACAGTGGCTCCTGCCTGTAATCCCAGCACTTTGGGAGGTTGAGGCAGGTGAATCACTTGAGGTCAGGAGTTTGAGACCAGCCTGGTCAACATGGCAAAACCCCATCACTTCTTATAAAATACAAAAATTAGTCAGGCATGATGGTGCCCACCTGTAATCCCAGCTAGTTAGAGACTGAGGCACAAGAACCCACAAGGCGGAGGTTGCAGTGAGCCAAGATTGCACCACTGCACTCCAGCCTGGGCAACAGAGCAAGACTCGGGCCAGGTGCGGTGGCTCACGCCTGTAATCCCAGCACTTTGGGAGGCCGAGGGGGACAGATCACGAGGTCAGGAGATTGAGACCATCCTGGCTAACACGGGGAAACCCCATCTCGACTAAAAATACAAAAAATTTACCAGGCGTGGTGGCACATAGCTGTAATCTTACCTACTCAGGAGGCTGAGGCAAGAGAATCACTTGAACCCAGGAAGCGGATGTTGCAGTGAGTCGAGATGGCACCACTGCACTCCAGCCTGGGTGACAGAGTGAGACTCAGTCTCAAAAAAAGAAAAAAAAAATAGAATGAGACTCTGTCTCAAATATATATATATACACACACACACACACACACGTATGTATGTGTGTGTATATATGTATATTTGAGACAGTCTCTATATATATAGCATGAAATATATATATATGTGTGTGTGTGTGTGTGTATATATATATATGGCATGAAATCTCTGTCCCTCTCCCCTCCCTCCCTCTTAGGACCTCATTTGAATCTCTTACTGCAAGCTGACTTTTATTAAAATGACCTTTGTATGAGTCTTCTCCTCCATAGATTGGAAGCCCCTATCAAACAAAACCATGTCTTACTAATTTTTTGCATTGAATATAAGGTACTCAATACTTGTTTGCAAATATAATTTATTTTTAAATTTCTGTCTTTCAAAGTTCACAAATTAAATATAATTGGGAGAATTTTTTCTACCATTTCTTTCTTCACACTTTCTTTTTGTTTGTTTGTTTGTTTTTGAGACAGAGTCTTGCTCTGTGCCCCAGGCTGGAGTGCAGTGGCACAATCTCGGCTCACTGCAAGCTCTGCCCCCCGGGTTCACGCCATTCTGCTGCCTCAGCCTCCCGAGTAGCTGGGATTACAGGCGCCTGCCACCACGCCCGGCTAGTTTTTTTTTTTTTTTTTTGTATTTTTTTAGTAGAAACGGGGTTTCACGGTGTTAGCCAGGATGGTCTCGATCTCCTGACCTTGTGATCCGCCCGCCTTGGCCTCCCAAAGTGCTGGGATTACAGGCTTGAGCCACCGCACCCGGCCTCTTTCTTGACACTTTCTATGCTTTCTCTGTAGGTGCTACTCTTGCCTTGCGGACTAAATTTTCAGCCAGCCAGTTTTGGGATGACTGCAGAAAATACAACGTCACTGTCATTCAGTATATCGGTGAACTGCTTCGGTATTTATGCAACACACCACAGGTAACACTACCCCGGTTGTACTATCATTTTGAAATGGGTAAGATGGAAATTCAAGTCACTTTGGGTTGTGCTAGGCTTTAGCTGATTTGCATATATCAGTTTTGAGTTTAGTATACAATTATCATGATAAAGTACTTGGCACTGTACCTACCATATAGAGGGGACTTATTAGATGGGAGTTCATATTATTATGATGATGATTATTATTTCCTGACTTTTTACTTGTTTTCACATCTTACCCCCCACCTAGCATATCCTGCATTTCCCTCTCTGCTTACTAAAAGCCATTGTCAAAGCCCAGTTCAAATGATACCTCATACATTAAACCTATTTGGGTCACTCCAACAAAAGTCATTACTCTTCTCCCCTACGTCATTTTATTTCTACCCTCTGTGGCCCTTGTCACATTGCAGGAGTTTGCGTTCATGCCTCCCATCCTTCCTTGGCTATAATATCTTTGATGGCTGGAACCACATCTTGTCTCCTTGTTTTCTGTTATACCAAAACCATACAGGAAACTTTTACTTAATATTGTTTAATAAATAAATCCCTGCGTGACTTTGAAACCAACCAGCCAAGTCTGTCACCAAGCTGGGAACAGAGGCCCCAGGGCATCTCCAACGGCCTTGGATCTGCCTGGTTTGCAGATGTTCCGCTCTCGATGGGGTTGTTCTCAAGAGCTCCTCCTGCCCAGTCCCTCAACTCTCATCAGAGATCTGGTATCAGATAGGATTTATCAACAGTGGCACTGCTGACACTTTGGGCTTTTAATTCTTTGCTGCATAGACTTATTCCGTGCATTGTAGAGTGTTTAGCACCCTTTGAACCTTGCCCACGAGATGCCAGTAGTAACCTCCCCACCTGCCCAGGTTGTGATCATCAAAATGTCTCCAGATACTGCCAAATATCCCTTGGCAGGCAAATACTACCCTAGTTGAGAACCACTGGGCAAGACAATGCATTAAACTCGCCAGATTCTAATCCCTTTCACCAGATTCTAGTTCCTTTAATCTACTCAGTCAACTTAACCTCAAAGGATCACTAAGTTGATAAATTGCTATTGATAAACACCTGTCGTGCTCACCTTACATACCAGCCGCTATGTGACGCAGAAAGAAGTGTCGGATGCTCTTCCCCCAGGTCTCTCTCACCTCGCGTTACTCAGTATCTGCCCAGCTGTTACCTCATTAGGAGAGAGGCCTCTCCTGCTAATAATCAAACATATCACCTGCTCCTCACTGTCCAGCTTGTCACTGCATTTCTTGGCACCTGTCACTCCTGACATAGTAAAGGTTTATGTGATTATTGTCTGCCCCCCCCCCCGCCCAATTAAATGAAAGTCGCATATGAGCAGGGGCTCTGTCCACTACCAGATCCACAGCACCGAGATCTGTAAATGACACATCATAGGCATCAACAGATTTTGCGGACTGAACCTCTTAAATCCTTGACCCTGAAAAACGTATAGTTGAGTTGAGGGAGCTAAAATGTTTCCCCCAAAATGTTTAGGCTTAGCACATATTATTCTGATTTTTTGGCATATTCAATAGATTCTTGAGGATCATCATTAGCAGTGAGTTGGGTTAGGGCGTTTTCCACAGCAGTTTCTGTTAATGTTATTATTGAATTTTTTTCTCATTAATATTCCACGTGGCCCTCAAGATAGCATGTCTCTCCATTAACATCCAGAAATCCATATGGGGCCCTTCTGCTGGGCTTTTCTTCTCTACCTTAAAGACACTCCCTTGTCAGTTAGAAATCTCCTGGGGAGTGTGTGTTGTTTCTATACATTCTAATGGGAGCTTCCTTTTGACTGGAGGAAAATAAATATGTTTGTGTGTAGCTGTCTTAAGGCTTACACGTATCCACATACACACATGCACACATACACACACACATGCATGCACTCTCCCAGTTTTTCTCTTACTGTTGTCTCGAATACTGGAAAACAAAGACAATTTGATTGGGGTTTTATGACTTCAAAATATACTATGATTTAATGCATAATCTTGAATGACCCCTGGACTTCCTATTTGCCAGTGTGTCTGGAAAATACTTATAAAAAGTATAATAAAAGATCAAAGTTATCTCAAAAAAAAAAAAAAAAAACTTCAGTTAAAGATTTTTTTTTGATCACAGGTCATCAGTCCAGGCACGATGGCTCACACCTGTAATCCCAACACTTTGGGAGGCCGAGGCAGGCAGATCATTCAAGGTCAGGAGTTCAAGACCAGCCTGGCCAACATGGAGAAACCCAGTCTCTACTAAAAATACAAAAATTAGCGGGGTTTGTTGGCACGCGCCTGTAATCCCAACTGCTCGGGAGGCTGAAGCAAGAGAGTCGCTTGAAGCGGGAGGCAGATGTTGCTGTGAGCCAAGATTGTGCCACTGCACTCCAGCCTGGGTGACAGAACAAGACCTTATCTCAAAAAAAAAAAAAAAAAAAAAAGGAAAAGAAAGAAAACAGAAAGAAAACAATCATAGGTCATTAGACAAGCAGGAGATCTATGCAAAATTTTTTTTTAATTTAATCATAGGTCATCATAGGAAGTAGGAAGTAAAGACTTTGCAAAAAATAAAAATAAAAAAGAATTGGATAAAAACTAGAATGAATGGGGGAAGGGCCTAGATCAATGTAATCAGGAACTTCCTCACCCTTAGAGCTGCCTAGAATACACTGTTGCTGGAGGGACTAACCCCACCGACGACTCCCAAGCACTGGATGCCAGGGAGGTTTGCAACCTCTGCCTTAGCAGAGCAGCTAAACCAATGACACCCATCCACAGACATACATGGCCCAGCTCATCAGGAGGATCTGGGGCCAGTGCTGGGAGGTGGAAGCCACTGTGCTTCTCTGCCCTCTTCTCAGCCATATTCAGTAGCTTCTCTGGTGGAGCAGGGGGCTATGGAGAATGTTTCCAGCCACACTCAGTGGTTCAGATTTGGCTCCAGATACTTAAAGTAGTGCTGAGAGCAAGTACTCTGAGTTAGTCAGCCTGAATCCTGACTCTACCATTGGAGCAGGATAGTTAACCTCTCTAAATCTCAGCTTCCCATCAGCCGACAAGGAGATAATAGTACCTACCTCACATGAGGTCTACAAAGACAACATGAGATTATATACGTAAACCACGTAGTAGCTGGAACTTAGTAAATGCTCAACACATGTTGCCACTATTATCATTATCATTTTCCATGCCTAACAGTGTGTTGCTCATAATAGGCATCCCATACATATTTGTTGAATGAATCAATGAAAATTCTGCCCACTTACACAAAGGAAGAAATAAGGGAAAACATTCTACTTAATCACTCTCATCTGACGTTGAGTAGGGGATTAGATAGCAAAGCTGTTGACCTAAGTGATTTTTAAAATATTATAGTGAATATTTTCTATTTATTTTGCCATCTTCCCGCATTGTTTTTGGGCCTTTCCTTTCAGAGCGCCTGTTTGTAATGAAAGGCCATTCTGAGTCATTTCTTGCAGTATATGGTTGTCACCTCCCATTCGGTTTGCGTCATCTAGGGAAAGTTATTTTCTGGAACATGATATTGCTAAAGCTCGGTGTTTCTTTCCTCCAATTACAGACTGAAGCTACAGCAAGGGGTCTCAGTAAGGCTTTAGGCCACCTGCTGGAGTGTGGGAGGAGGAAGACAGAAAGGGAACCAAAAAAGAGTTCCAGGGGCCACACATAGAAGCATGATATTTCGAAGGAGAAATAATATTGACCAGAACCCTGAAAAAGCTGAATAGACTCAACTTACCTCTAGTGTTGTCTGCATCCTCCCAAAATTAGATAACCTCTGTGGTCCCTTCTAGCGTAAAATTTCTGTCTCTGCACCAGCTTCATTCTGTTCAAAAAAGAGAATGGATGGATATGTTGTAGCACAGAGTGGAGAGTGGCCAGTATGACTGGGGCCCAAGACAGAGGGAGGCCAAAAGAAAGAGGGAAGGGGAGCAGGATCAGGAAGGCTCGCCAGGGAAAGTGGGCTTTGAAGAATACAGAGAAGTTCTGCAGGCAGGCAAGAAAAGAAGGGGTTCTGGCCAGCAGGAAAATCACGTGAGCAGTGAGATGAAGGACCCAACACACTGGCTGCAAGCAGTCTGGCAGGAGGTGAAGCTGAAGGGCTGGGTCAGGTGGCAAGGGCTTCACTCTGCTGAGACTCAAATGTGAACATGACAAGCCGTGACTAAAGGGCCTTACATGGAAGAGTGATATGGGAGATGGCATTTTTAGACAGTCCTTTTGGCTATGGTGGGAGAATACACAGAAGGACGAAGGGCCTTTTGTGTAAAGCAAACAGGTGGAATCTTGTCCAGGCAGAAGTGTAACATATTAATTATTAAGAACAGGGACTCTGGAGTTTTCCTAAGGTGATAAAGAGCTTCTGCCCCTTCACCTCTTGGAAGTCACCCCAAAACAAGGAGATGAGAAAAACACACACAAACACCATCATCTCAGAAACTAAGAGACATCGCAACCATGAACTACATAGTATAGGAAGCTAAAAGATAACAGTGACTGACATAACAGGCTGAGAAGGGTGAAACTTAAGAGACAAGTCCAACAAGAAGGTTGTTGCCTTCCTGAAAGCTGAGAAATTGCAGATGCTAAATACAGCTGAAGGTGGGATGAAGTGTCAGGCTTAAAACAGGGGGGTTATTTGAAACTCCGTGTAAGAAGTAAAATACAGAGGACAGGGGATCAAGGCGAACGCAAGGCAGGACTAGATTGTGGCTCCAGACAGAGCAGCATGCGGAGGCTCGCATTGTGAATTTTAGCTCCAGATTGACTGCAAGAACTAACCAGCAATCCTGAGAGGACCCACAGACCCTGTGAAAGAAGTGGACTGCTCCTGGAGGACCCGGGAGACACCCCAAATACTATGATCACCCCAACTGTGGAAGTGGGAAAGGGAGACCCTCATCTCCCGAACACACACTGGAGAAGCTGAAGGTCTGTTTGCAGAGGAAGTTCCCAACTTTACCTGGAGCTGAG